ACGTCTAGCCCTTAGTCTAGTCACTATACGGACTGAGTTTTCGCGTCTCTGGTTAGTATTTCTTATTGTTTCGGTGCGAAGTTTTGTCAGGTTCTTTCGCGACGAAAAGGATTTCATGTCAAAGAAAGTTTGTCAAACAATAACCAAATGCATCCAACCTCGAAGATAAAACAGTCGTCTGATTCTTGCCATCATTTTCTCTCTACGTGCTTGTCATTTGCAGCTGTTTGCTGTATAGAAATGAAGAAAGTTTGTATGGAGTCTGTTGACCTAGTTACTATATGAAATTCCCTCACCAAATGCAGATAGCAACAGCTACGAAAATGGAGAAACTCGTGCCATCGATCCTTTGTTACAGTGAACATTAAGATATTGTATATCCATAGAATCCCTTTCCTACTTTCATGTACACATATTTATGGTTTATTTAACGACTATGATATTATTCTAGGGTATACAGCCTTGGATGATAAAACGATTTTTTTTTCCCTTGGCACTACAGCCCCAGTGGGCCTAGGCCTACCTCCATGAACTTCTCCGTTCACTTCGGTTTTTCTAGATCTTACACATTCGGTAGGACTCCTTGGGCGGGTGATCAGCTCGTCGCAAGGCCTCTACCTATACACACACAAACTAAACATCCATGCCCTGAATGGAATTCGAACCCACGATCCCGGTTTAAAAGCGAGCGAAGACAGTACATGCCTTAGACCTCTCGGCTACCGTGACCGGTGATAAAACGATTAGCAAACAATAAGTTCAATGAACGACTATTCTCTTACTTTCCTTTCCAGTCGATCGGTCAGGTAAATTGATGCTGGTTTCGCCAGCACAGTCAATCTTGGTTTCGGGTCCCGTCTGGAATCATGGTCATATTTGTGTTCTTTCCCAGACTTGCGTGTTTCGAAATGTGGTCTCTTCTTCGACGAGGGGAGGGGTCTGGTTACTCCCCCTCGACTCGAGAGGGCACCCACTCCCTTCCAACTGCCGGTCGGTCTGTCGGATAAACTGCTTATGATCCTCGCCAGCGCAGTCGATCTTGGTTTCGAGTCGTGCAGGACTCTCTCGCAACTCTGGGTGTCATGCAGCTGAGTTGTTCTTCTCGTGCCTTTCCTTCCACTACATAACTCCAGAAGTCCAAGAAATGCACATGTCAGATATATGTACTGCCCTGTTTCTCCCATACTATGCATCATAGAGACCATTGTAATTAGAGAAACGTTCCTCTGGATGACACTTTTGGTAACGTAATCGATGTCTTTCCATTTTAATAAAGGGGCACAACTACTAAAATAACTAACTTGAGTTGGTAGAGGTAAAGTTGTCCCGGTGTTTAATTAATTAAACACTACGTCACGAAGACTTATGAAGGAGTGGAGGTATAGCTCCACCATTCTTGGCCTTACTACTAGATAGAGATGAGTGGTGAGCTTCACGCTCCTACCGATTTGACCGGCTGAAAGATTCCCCTGTACCGATAAGATAGGAGGCTATTTGGGCCCTATAGCCGATTTGGAAGCTGTGGAGAAGAGAAACATCGCTTGCCCTGGCGGGAATCGACCGGTCGACCAGCCCATAGCCATCGCTATACTTTGCAGGCCTTTGCATAACTCTCTTCTGTGTTTTATCATTGCTGTGCGCCTTTAAATTTTGTTTTTTCTACTACAAATCGCTTCTGCGTGTCATCTAAAATCTGAGAAATTGGGTGGCTTTATCATGAATTGTGTACAATATTATATTTAAGCATCATGTTACACTCTACACAATGTATGACACAAACTCCGTCCTAAGTGCAACAATTTATTGTAGTTCTTTTGTCTTCTTTTCTTCTACACTACATGTTTCGGCCGTAAATGACCATCATCAGGTGTACACTCTCACGTAGCTGTTACACTGCATGTAGTTTAAAATTTAAAAACACCAGCTTTCTTAATTGTTCATTTCTCCGTTGTTAATAGGTCCCGATATATCAGAAGATATACCAGTGTAGAAGAAAAGAAGACAAAAGAGCTACAATAAATTGTTGCACTTAGGACGGAGTTTGTGTCATACATGAATTGTGTCATTTGTTTTACATTTGAATTATATTTAGGCGCAAATATCCATCGACTCGGACACTTCTTAACCCACCATCCGAGATATTTTACTACGCAGCTACTTATTACGACCACCACTGCCGTATAGGTAATATTGACTAGCAGTAATAATAATACGGTAGTGTCCGACTCCACCTTCATATAGCTTCTTCTGCACTCACACATACAAAGCCAGGCGACAGCGTCTCCGTGTTTGATTGATTATTTTTATCGAACGGCCTGATATTTCAAATCGTGGCACTAATGTGTGTCGTTCCAATGTTTTTTGTTGGTGTTCATTACGTAATATTGAACTGGTAATTATTGTACAACATTTACATCACTGTTAAAGATTATTCAACAAGTAACAGTGGTCGCGCGGTCTAGGGCATGAACTGTCTTCGTTCGCTCGGACTCTGGGGTCATGGGTTCGAATCCCACTCAAGGCATGGATGTTTGTGTTTATTGTTTGTATTAGGTAGCGGCCTTGCGACGGGCCTATCCCCACCCAAGGAATCCTACCGACTGTTTCAGATGAAGAGAAAATAAAATTTACTTACCTCGACACCGTAAGGCATAAGAGGAGCAGCTTAAGAAAGAAAGGAAGAAAAGAAGAAAGAAAGATGGGACACTATATACTACCGATACTGCTACTGAACATTTAAAATAAAGCATGTATTACTGAATACATCGGTAGAGAGCGAAGTGTTCCCGCTCCGAATATTCCGTGTTCATATCTCAGTCAGGATGCAGCTTTACGTGACTGAATATCTGTGTGATTTTCTACAGTCTCTCCAGGGGAATGTCGGGACATTTCCCCAAATTACGTCGCTACCACGCCCTTTTCAGTTCACTAGTTATGTCTCATTTTTCCGTTGGAAGTTACTGTACAAATTAGCGGTCTCCGTAGTCTAGAGGTAACGTTCCCACCTCATGACTCGTAGTACGCGGGTTCAAATACCCGGCGGAGGTCGTAGAATTTTTAAGGGCGGAAAAATTCAGGGAACAAGTCCTCCGGGAGGGACTTTAAGCCGTGGGTCCTGTGTCGTAGCTTTACGGCACGTAAAAGAACCTCATATCTCCAAAGGAGGTCACTGAGCCAAATTTACGGACGTTTCCCGCCCAACAGCAGTCTCTAATACCTCTGGTAGATGGGGGAAGCATTATAGATACCTCTCAGCTAGTAGAGCCGGTCTCGCTGGCTGGGCGGGACTGATGGTAAGCACCAGTACCGGTAGGATATAGAGACTGGTAGAAATCATAGAGGGAAGCACAATGGACCAATACAGGTCTAAGTGCATGGGGAAACCCACCCTCTCCAATAACTAACTAACTAACTACTGTACAAATTCTGAGGTGCTAACATCGTTAATTAAACCATAAATAAAACGACTGAGGTAGGCCGCACACCGGCATGCGTCAAGACATGATGTCTGCGACACGACGCAAAAAAGGAGCAGAGTTGAAACGAATGAGATTATGAAAACCGCCGCACACCGGTCTGAGTCATGATGCTGACGTCAGCTTCATTCTGACGAATCACGAATGAAACAAGACTGCGTCTCTTGTCCCATATCTTGATGCTTGTCTTGACGCAGTTGGTGTGCGGCCGCCCTACCTGTTAATCCATTTCTTGTTCGATTCATAAAATTGGTTTTTCATGCTGTCAGCCCAATTTACAGTACGTTGTAGAAGTTGATACATTGGTGGGGCGAGGCCCGCTTATATGTCTCTACGTTCTTCTGCTATAAAGCTGGGATAGTTCAGTCGGTATAGCGATGGTGTACGGGCTGGACGGCCAGAGTTCGATTCTCAGCATGGGCAAGAATTTGTCTCTATTCCACATCGCCCAGGCCGATCCACCCGGAAGCCTATCCAGAAGATAAGAGGGGTTCTTTAAGCGGAGTTAAAGCGGCCGGGGAGTGATGCTGACCACTCACCTCCATCTCTTTCCGAGATTAAGAAAGCTGGAGCTATACCTCCACTCCTCCATCAGCCTTCATGGCGTAATGCTTAAATGCTCTAGCACAGTGTCTGCTTTACCTTCAGCTTTTAGTTTCTTCTACTAGATGCAATTTCCGGTCACAGTGGGTCTGAGTCATGATGCTGAAACTGTTTTCGCCTGAGGCATGAACTGTTTTCGCCCCTCTCAAACACTGTGATCGTGGCTTCGAATCCCACTCAAGGCATGCGTTTATTCTGTGTTTGTGTTATCATGTGCAGGTAGCGGCCTTGCGACGGGCTGATCCCCCATCCAAGGAGTCCTACCGACTGTCCTAGGATTAAGAAACTGAAGTGAAACAAAGTGTTTCCTTCACGGAAGTCCTGTGCTCCAAGTGGGAGCAACAGGAGAGAGAGAGAGACTATATGCAATTTACTCGAAGCAAAGAGTTAAACGTGGTTTTAATACCGTGACTGGAAATGATAATTGGTTTTGAGGCTCTGAAAGGCGGTGACTGTGAAGAAGGAATAATATCTTCTGGCATATGATGCCATGTAATATGGCAGATATTTACCGAAGTTTCGGAAGAAATACCTATCTTCATCCTCAGCCATTTCTTGGTCTTTGCTTCATACCGGTTACTTGCCAGTTTTAATAATCGACCCTGAAAATGGAGGCAATGTTTTCTGCAATGTCGATGCACTACCCGACTATTCAGCTATATATCCTAGAGCATGATACTCCTTAGAGATACGTGTACATATTTGTGACGTCATGTGGGAAGATGATGCCGGTTTATTCAATGCGTACATTTTTCTTATATATTTTATTTATCGTGGGTACATTTGACATCGTTTTTCTTGGGGGATAATTTATGTGGGGAGTGAGGTCATGGGGAGGGGGTGAGGACGTCCCTGTGCGCAGGCGGGGTGGTGCAATGGCTGGTGGTGTGCTGGTAACAGACACCAGTTAGTGAAGGGTTGGTAGTGATTAGAGTTCAGTGCTTGGACAGTGAAACTGTAGCAGTGTTTAAATATTTTATTATTATTATACTATTATATTTATTTTATTATCGAAGTTGAATACTTAGAGTTGCACGTCTCTTTCTGTTTATCAGGTATGGATTACTTGCCAGGTGATTAACTTAAGGGTTTTTAAGATATAAAAAGAAAATAGTTTATGATCACTTCCTAATCTTACTTGGCCTTCATAATCAGAGCTTAGCAGAACACGGGTGTTGGCAGACATTTAGATACGAGTAAAAGAAGAACCACTTTATCTAAACTTCGTCGCGAGAAGGATAATTTTTCCTGAAACTTCACAAAAACCGTAATTACAAGAGTTACATTTACATTACCGTGCATTATGTCTGGATTAATCCAAATTAAGATAGCCGGGATAGCTCAGTCGGTATAGCGACTGGCTACGGGCTGGACGGCCAAGGGTTCGGAGTTCTAGTCTCCTTAGGGTCAAGAATTTTCTCTTCTCCACGTCGTCCAGCCCGATTCTGGGGCCCACCAAGCCTCCTATCCAATGGGTACCGGGGGCTTTTTAGCCGGAGGTAAAGCGGCTGAGGCGTGAAGCTGACCACTCACCTCCAGCTAGCGCCGAGTTCAAGAAAATTTGGATCTATTCATCCACTCTCCCATACGCATAATGCTTAATTAGTTAAGCACAAGGAAAACTTTACCTTTTAATCCAGATTAATATTCAACATATGAACAATATATTAGAAACAAAAGACAGAGAAGTATAATACCAGCACTTAATAAAATGGTGCCGCCCCATGCAGCTGCTTCGTTCACCTGTGCTCTTACCCTGCCGACAAGAAAAATAATGGACACCCTCAAAATACGGTGAAAAATGCCCCTATAACGTTATTATTCAGAAGTATAAGAGACAATTTCTGTATTTAATTTGTTGGAATTTGTTCTACCATTACCGGAACCCTCAGCAGTAGTGCTTTAGCTTTGTGTTCTGGAGGTGCTAGATAAGGATTCATTCCAGGATATCGACTCTCCTGACTGAGGTTATCCGTGTTTTTCTTCAGTCCTTCCAGTAAGTGTAGGGACGGTACTTCGGTTGGGTTAGGACCGCTTCCTTCCAAAACGTTTACCAGATCCAGCTAATCACAGCATCGTAAAATAGCCCACAGATACAAGACCCACACATTCAAATCCTAAATAAATTGCTAACATAAACAAAAAAACCAACATGTAATTTTTAGAACACGACAGGACAGAAACCTTCCTACGTGTTTGTGTGTGTGTGTGTACTTATGGTTTCATTCTGAAGCGAACCCAAAAGGGCGCCCATTGTATTAACGAACATTGTTTGTCCGCTATTTGTGTAAAGAGCCTTTGTTGGCATACTTACGTGAATCTTACAGTGAAAATAAATTTAAAATGTTCTCATTTCTGACGGAGAGTTAAATTGGGAGATTATTCCGCTAAAAAAATAACGTTTCCAGTACTTATACTATATTGTAACTGATCCTATATATAGAAATAACTTTCCAAATTCTCAGTGACAATATCTTCCTATTGCTCATATTGGGACGTAATGCGAAAAATGTATTTTTTTTATATAACTGATAATTCTGGTGTTTTAGGAATATCTCTTACCAATGCTAACTGCCGCTGGCATAAGTTTGTAGGCTAAAAATTGTTTTAAATAATTCTACCCCCAAATCCTTAAGTAATAAAGGGATTTTTTTTATATTTGGGGTTGTCAAATGTATATTTAATGTAGCCCAGTTTTCCAAGCCCTGTCGCTAACAATTAAAATTAAGTA